CTGTAGCTCAAGTGGTAGAGTGCTCGCCTTGAGCTGAAGAGCTGAGGGACAGCGCCCAGGCCCAGAGTTCAAGCCCCACGACCGACAAAAAAAAAAAGAGTCTTGGATTTGTCTGCCTGGGCTGGCTTTGAACTGCAGTCCTCAGATCTCAGTGTCCTGAGTAGCTAGGATTACAGTGTGAGCGCCAGTGCTCAGGATGGAATCAGTCGCTTTGATCATCCTAGAGCTTCAAAGACCAGCATGGAAGGAAATTTGAGACTGGGTCTAGCGGTGAGTTTTTAGAACACAAGCAACATGGTCTGATCATAAAAAATGGCAAACTGATTTCTCAAAATTGAGAGATTTTCTTCAAATGATGCAGTTAAGTGCACAACATAACACACAGGCTGGGAGATGTTTGCAAATCATGTTATCTGTCCAAGATTCTGACTTGTGAAGCATGAAGCAATGCCAAGTTCTGCAGAACACAACTGGAGCTCATTCACTGCTGGTGGGAAGGCGAAATGCCATGGCCTCTTTGGAAAACACTTCATCCGTTTTTTGTTGTTGTTGTTGTTGGTTGTGGGGCCTGAACTCTGGGGGCTGTCCCCTAGCTCTTCAGCTGTAGACCAGCACTCTACCACTTGAGCCTCAGCCCCACTTCCGGCTGTTTTTTTCTGCTTATGTGGTGCTGAGGAATCGAACCGAGGGCCTCATGCATGCAAGGCAAGCGCTGTACCACTGAGCCACCTTCCCAGCCTTTGTCCGTTGTTGTAAACTTCACTGTAGGCTTCTATTCATGGCTGATTAGTGAAATAAAATCCCAGTTTGACAAGCCCACAGACAAGTGTGTGCAGGGAGCCATTTATTGCCATCAGCACCAGAAATGCTGAAAATGGGACACTATATGTCATGTTCCCAGGAAAGGAACTCAGACTTCTAAGCCCATACACAGTGGCGTCGCACACAGCCATGAAAAGGAACGGGCAGTCACCTGCAACCTTATGAACGAACCTCACATTTACTGTGCCAAATATGGGTGCCAGACAAGCACTGTGCACTTGATGCCACGGCTACCACGTGCTGGGAAAAGGAAGGTCCACAGACCGTACTTCGTTGGCCAAATCCAGTCCTGTATTTTGGTTTTTTTAACAGCTTAAGTATGTTATTCTCTGTGTGTATGTGGTGCCACAAACGAGTCAAGAAGCACAGGTTTGAGTCCAGAGCTTTAGACGGGATAGGTAAGCCTTTCTAACTGTTCAGCTACAGCCCAGACCAAAATTTACTTTTTTCTTTTTTTGCCAGTCATCACCAGAGCTTAAACTTGGAGCTTCTTACTTGCTTTTGAGGGGCTGGCTAATTGGAGAGATGTCTCAAGGACTTTGCCTGGACTGGCTTCAAACCAGTGTCTCCACATCTCAGCCTCTGGAGTAGTTAGGATTACAGGCATGAGCCACTGGTGTTCAGCCTAGGATTTATATGCTTAAATGGCTGATGAGCTGGGCGTTGGTGGCTTACGCTGTAATCCTAATTATTCAGGAGGCTGAGATCTGAGGATCGCAGTTCAAAGCCAGCCGGGTCAGGAAAGTTCATGAAACTCTTATCTCCAATAAAAACCACTCAAAACTGGAAGTGGCACTGTCGCTCAAGTGGTAGAGCACTTGCCTTGAGCTGAAGAGCTGAGGGGCAGCGCCCAGGCCCAGAGCTCAAGCCCCAGGACTCACAAAAAAAAAAAAAAAAAGGCTGATGATACTTGAGTATGTGGGGGGGGGGGTTGTTTTCCCGTTTTGTATTGGCTTATTGGAGATAAGAGTCTCACAGGAAGTGGCGCTGTGGTTCAAGCAGTAGCAGTAGAGTGCTCACCTTGAGCTGAAGAGCTAAGGGACAGCTCCCAGCCCAGAGTGCAAGCCCCATGACCGACCAAAAAAAAAAGTTTTAAGCGGGGCACTGGTGGCTCACGCCTGTAATCCTCGCTACTCAGGAGGCTGAGATCTAAGGATCGCTACTCAGGAGGCTGAGATCTGAGGATCGCAGTTCAAAGCCAGCCTGGGCAGGAAAGTCCGTGATACTTATCTCCACTAAACCACCAGAAAACCAGAATGGCGCTGTAGCTCAAGTGGTAGAGCGCTAGCCTTGAGCTGAAGAGCTGAGGGACAGTGCTCAGGCCCAGAGTTCAGGCCCTACGACTGACCAAAAAAGAGTCTCATAGACTTTCCTGCCCAGGCTGGCTTTAAACCACAATCCTCAGATCTCAGTCTCCTGAATAGCTAGGACCAACCAATGCCCGACTGAATTATGTTGTTTAAAAAAAAAAGTCTCGGGCTGGGAAGGTGACTCAGTGGCAGGAGTGCTTGCCTTGCATGTATGAGGCCCTGGGTTCGATTCCTCAGCACCACATAAGCAGAAAAAACTGGAAGTGGCGCCGTGGCTCAAGTGGTAGAGCGCTAGCCTTGAGCTGAAGAGCTGAGGGACAGCACCCAGGCCCAGAGTTCAGGCCCCATGTCCAGCAAAAAAAAAAAAAAAAGTCTCAGGCTGGGCGCTGGCCCTAGCTACTCAGGAGGCTGAGATCTGACCATTGCGGTTCAGAGCAGAGAGGGAGGGCAGGAAAGTCTGTGATACTCTCATCTCCAATTAACCATCAACAAAACAGAAGTGGAGCTAGCTCAAAGTGATAAGAGCACTAGCCTTAAGCAGAATAACTCAAGGGCAGAGCCCAGGTCCTGAGTTCAAGCCCCACGACTGACCCAAAGCAAAGGGGGTCTTGAAAAGTTTTCAGCTGGCTCAAATGGTGATTTTCCCTATCTCAGCCTCCTGAACAGCCAGATTACAGTGTGAGCCACCAACACCAACCCCTCCTTTTTGGTCAGTAACAGGGCTTGCTTGAGTTCAGGGCCAGGACACTGTCCCTAAGCTCTCACACCCAAGGCTAGCGCTCTACCACTTTGGCCCCAGTGCCACTTCTGGTTTTCTGGTTAATTGGAGAAAAGAGTCTTATGGACTTTTCTTGTGCCAGCTAGCTTTGAAATACGATCCTCAGATCTCAGCCTCCTGAGTTTCTAGGATTACAAGAGAGAGCCACAGGTTCTGGCTCCACCCCCCCTTTTTAAAAGAGCTATGGTGCCAGGCGCTGGTGATTCACGCCTGTCATCCTAGCTTCTCAGAAGGTTGAGATATGAGGATGGTGGTTCAAAGCCAGCCCAGGCAGGAAAGTGGGTGAGACTCATCTCCAGTAAACCATCAAAAAACCAGAAGTGGCATTGTGGCTCAAGTGGTAGAGGACTAGCCTTGCTGAAGAGCTGAGGGACAGCGCCCAGGCTCAGAGTTCAAGCCCCACAACCGACAAAAAATAAATAAAGAGCTGGTGAAAAGATAGGAGTCAGACATTCGCCGTGTTAAAAATAAAGTAGGGTTTAATCGTTTTCTCCTACAGATGGTAAAAATAATTAGTATTTAAAGAACAAAGCATGAGAAATTATCTTCAATTTACAAAAATATTAAAGAACAATTTCTGTGTGTGGAGAAAATAGCTTTTTATATTTCACTTGATAATTTGAATTTTTTTTTTCCAGGAACAAAAGAAGCTAGGGAGCCCTGCTGGCACACAGGCCAGCTGAGTGGTCTACCCCGAACCACACCCCCAACAAATGCTGGCTTTCAGGTTTCACAAGAATTTTCAGGTTTGACATTAGAACAAGGGCCTAGAATTACTTCACAAAGCATTTTACTGTCAAAATACATCTAGCTGTTTAATAGAAACGGACAGGATACTTCCTTACAGTAAAAAGTGAATAGTCAATTTAAAAAAAAAATACAAAAATTCACAGGTCACATTCTATGTATCAACTACATATTTAGTAAAACCTTTCCAGTTGTTTTAAGTTCAGCATGTGTTATGGGTGAACACTGCACATCAGGCTTGGGTGCCAGCTGTGGCCCGCTGCCAGCACGCCTCTGGAAGGCCTGCAGGTGTTGCAGGCCGTCGCTGCTGCTTGCTGTCGGGCTGTCTGCCCTGGGCTCTGTGGTGTAGGTGCAGGAGATGCCAACTTAGCCAGGAAATCCAGCGTGCTGGAAGTGTGGGATGGAAGCCGAGCGGCAGCGGGGGACTGGCTGGGGGGGGGAGCTGGGGGGCTTGCCGGGTGCAGAGGCCTGCGCTGCACTCCACAACTCCTTACACGCCGACCTTCCTTCACAGCACATCTGTCCTAGCTTAGGACTCCGCTTCCTCATTACCGCTTTCCTCATCCTCATTCTCTTCCTCTTCCTCCCGCTTCTCTTTAAGCATTTTCAGGTACTTACTAGCTAAGATCTTCTTCGGTAATATATCTTAAAAACACAGAAGCTTCTGTCAGCAGATGAGCTAGGAACACAGCCACACACATTTCACAATGGACTAGTTCCTGACCTCTAGAATAGGTTCCAGAAGGAGATGAAATCCAGACCCCTGTGGTCAAATGCCACCAACTAGCATTTCCTGACTCTTGCTACAGACCATGGTGCTCTTCCCATTGATTTTGTGAGCAATGTGCTCAGCCTACCCAAGTCAGACTGGGCCTGCCCCAGGAGAGACCTATGACCCGCAGCTGCACCCTGAGCTCCCCCTCCCTGTTCTCCTCATAAAGGGACTGGGGGGGGGGTGGAGAAAGGGGATAAGAAACACACTCAGAAATGAAAGGCCCCTGGAGGTAGCCCACTGTGTGATTCAGGTGTAACAGAAGAAGGCTGTCGCTACTAAGCATACTTTTTTTTTTAACCCAAACTTCCAATATTAAGTACCTGCGAGAAACTGAAAAGTCTCTGATTCCTCCGCAGTATTCGCCAAATCACTGTAAGTCAGCGCTTTCTTTTCTTTCCCACTGCCATGTCTGTAGGAATGGCTGGCTAGATACTGAACAAAGAGCTCCTAAAACAAAATGGAGAAGTCAAATGAAAAGTGTACATGAAGAACTTGCCAAAGTGCTTATTTTATTTTTGTTGTGGGGCTTGAACTCTGGGTCTGGGTGCTGTCCCTGAGCTCTTCTGCTCAAGGCAAGTGCTCTACCACTTGGCCACACCTACTTCCGGTTTTCTGGTGGATGAGTCTCACAGACCTTCCTGCCCAGGCTGGCTTTGAACTGCAATCCTCAGGTCTCAGCCTCCTGAGTAGCTAGAATTACAGGCGGTGCCTGGCTCTGATTTTAAAACTTTTCCATTAAATATATGTTATTTCACTAAAATTTACATTAGGATTAAGTTATCTTGATTCCTTCAATCACTGTAAATCACTACAGGTGAGGTCAGAAAGTAAGTGCAACTGAGAGGTGACTGAACAGGAAGTACTGGACACTTGGATGGACACCGTTAAATGGGACCCCTTTGGGACAACCTTTTCAAGTACAGAAAAAAATCAAGTACTACTGTGACCAAGTTGGAGGGAGAGCCAGCAGGCACTGTCTAGTTTAGGTGTATACCTTAGGGAGAACATTTACAGCTAATCAAGAACAATGAGTCATAAATGTCGAATGACCAGTCTCTACAGTCAAAGAAGCACAACATTCTCAGAACATTTTATTTGTGCCAACGTGGTGGTGCATGCATGTCTTCCCAGCACGGGGCCTGGGCAGGGGGATGGCAGCTCCCCCGCCAGGCTTGGCTACACAGGCAGATCCTGTCTCAAAGGGGGGCTGGAGTGCAGTGGCTCCGCTACTTAAACGTAGCTTCTTGGAGCCCAGCGGTTGGAGGTCAGCCTGGCAGAAGGGTGCTGCTTGAGCGCATCCCAGCTACTTGGGGAAACAAAAATAGGAGGATCGAGGTCGACGCCGACTGGGCCTTGAAAATAACCGATGCGCACACCACCACCACGGAGCTGGCGGCCGGGGCCCGGGGTAGAGCCACGCCTGCCCGGGCGCAGGGCCGGGCTTCCACTGCTCCCGAGGCCCAGCGTGAGGCCCACGCCTGGAACCTTCGATCCCGCGGAGTCGCTGACCCCACCTCCACCTTTCTCCTCGTCCCAAAGCCACCGCCGGAGCGCAGCGCCCCTCGAGGCGCGGGTCCGATTCCTTCCCTAGCTGGGCGGCGCCGGGGGAAAACAAGGCACGGACACATCAGGACCGACGGACAGGGCGGCGCGGGGCGGGGCCCGGCGGGAGGGGCCCGGAGGGCGCGAGGGACGGCGGGAGGGGCCCGGATGGGCGGCGAGAAGGCGCGCGAAGGACGGCGGGAGCCGCGCGGGTGGGCGGGGCGGGGAGGAGGGGCGCCCGGAGTCGTGGGAAAGGCCGGCGTGCGCCTGCTCCGAGCGCGGCGGCCGGCGGTCACGGGCCGCCATCGTCGGGCCGGCCGTGTCGCCGAGCCTGCGGGGCGGAGCGTTAAGGGCGCTGGCGTCCCCCCTCACGCCGCGCCTCCGAGCGCGCGGGCCGCCTCACCGTGGCCTTGGCCGTGAGCACCAGGGCCTCCTGATTGATGCTGGACACCTCGGGGGAGCTCTTCATGATGACTCGGATGCGGGACAGCGGTAGCGACACGAGCCGCTGCTCCCCGCACTTATCCTTGCCGAGGGCCACGTCCGCCATCTTCCTGCGCCCGGGCGGCCCGCGGCTGGCCTCGCTGTCCCGTGGGAGTCGTCGGGCGGCCCGGGGCGCCCATGATGCCTCGCGCGCCCGCGCCTGCGCAGACACCGGTCCCGGCGCCCGCCCCTCCCGGTTGCGCAGAGCGTGGGAGTCCGGCCGGCGGCGGGGCGGGGCTTTCTCCTGCGCAGGCGCAGTGAGCGCCGAGTGCGCCTGGCCTGTGGGACTGGGAACGGCGCCAGGCGGGGTGTCCCCGCGCGGGGCGAGCTGCCTGGGCGTGCGCCTGTGCAGTTATCCGGGGCTGTGGTGGGGCTCGGGCCGGCCGGGAGGCAGAGTGCCCAACCCCAGACGTAAAAACTGATGCCCGGCGTGCCGCTTGCAGCCCTAAAGCTGGCGAGGCTGGGTTTGAGCCAGGCGGTGGGGTTCCATGGCGACACCCGGTCTCAAAAAAGAGAAAAGCGAAGAGATGGAAACGAGGGTCCCGTTCTCGAGGGGAGCAGATGCCACGCTGCCATGGTGATGAGAACCCCCGTGGGGAGAGAGGGGGAGCCCCCCTGACCGGTGTGGGCGCCTCCCGGGGAGCCCAGCGACCCCCCGGGAGGAGCCGGGCCGCGGGGAGTGGGAAGCTGTTGAGGAGGAGACATGGCCGGCCGGGCCTTACCCTGGAAGCCAGCCCTGGTGGCTCACCCCTGTGATGCTTTCCAGTCGGGAAGGTGAAGTCTCTCCAGAACTCATGGTTCAAAGCCATCCCTGGTAGAAACGTCTGTGGCACGAGCTCTGGCTCGTGTGGTAGAGCCTTGAGTGAAAACACTAAGCACGAGCACTGAGTTCAAACCCCAATACTGTCTCTCACCCACCCACACACACACACACACACACACACGTCTCTCCTGAGACTTTTCTGATTGAAGTATGTGCACGTAGGAAATGCCATGGTGAAACTTGTTTAAACAACAGAATAACAGAATTGAAAAACAGGCTGTGTTGTGGGGTACTATCAATGGGAAGGAAAGTGAATGAGGAGGGTGAACATGGTTGAAATACTCTATATGTTCATATGAAAATACAACATTGAAAACAGTTGAAATTTAAGAAGCGAGAAGGACAAGGGAGAATGATATGTGCGTTTAATGGGAATACATTGAATGCATGGATAGAAATGCCACAATGAATTCTCCTTTGTACAACTAACGTATGCTAATAATAAAAATCTGAAAAGAAAAACTTAAGGAAAAGATTCCTTCCTCTTACTGCTTACTGTGAGTCAGGTGGGGTTTGAGTGGAGTGGAGTCGATTGGGCAGCATAAGGGCAGACCCAGAAAGACCAGGTAGAAGGTGATCACAACCACAAGCAATGGTAAGGGTGAGGCCAGTGTGCCAAGATGGTGGGAACTCAGAACTGCAGAAGGTAGGGACCAAATCAGGTCAGTCTTTAAAACTACAACTCTTTCCCAACAAGTTGAAGCCTATGGAAAAGTAGAGTGGTCAGATAGAACTTTTTCAAGAATCAGGGGATATAATTTGAAGCAGAGTCCAGAGGACTTGATAATATGGAGAGGAGAGGTGAGAAAGGTGATTTTTATGTGCTGAATTGGCAGCCCTGGGGAGGGGCAAGTCACACAGGGATTTGGGTGGAAGCATGTTACGTTTCAGTGTCTTCTCAACCACTGCAGCCTTGGTTGTAGCCCAAATAAATGAGCACAAAGTACAGTTGTCCCTCAGTATCCCACTGGGGACTGATTCCAGGATCTCCCACAAACAACAAACAAACAAAAAGTAATGTTTGCATAGAACCTATGCATGTTCTCCTGTATATCGTCCTTTAAATCATCACTAGGGTAACTCATCATACCACATGCAGTGTGGATGCCCTGTAAATAGTCAGTATACTGTATTGCTTAGGAAATCAACAAGAAAATCAAAGGTCTGTACATGTTCTCTCAGTACGGATGAAATTAATTATTTTCTGAATGTCTTCTGTCAGGTTGCTGAATGTGTGGATGCAGACCTGGCATCCTGTGTCATGTTAGGCCCTGCGAGACCCAAAAGTACACCAATGAGCCAGACAGCCGTGTTCCCACCTCCACAGACCTTTCAGGCCTATGGCAGGTTGAAAAATAAATACCAGCATTTCTGCAGGTAAGTGCGATGAGGACCACAAAACTGTGCTGGAGACAGGCTCTGAGAAGTGCCCTCTGCTCAGATCTGCAGACACCAAAGGAGCTGGCCATGCAAAAAGGCTGAGACAAGATGAGTGTCTCCTGCCCCACATCAACCTGGGATTTGACCCAGGGAATGAATACCAGGCAAACACTGTACTGCTGAGCTATGTGTTAGCATGAGGCAAGCTTCCTGAATAAGGACATCCACGGAGGAAGAGGGCTGAAGTAATTTGAGGAGCTAGAAGGCTGGTGTTACTGGAGCTCAAAGGTGCGAGTGCTATGAAATCCAGGTGTGGTCAGCTCATGCAGGTGGGTAAGAAGTTTAGCTTTTGTCCTGAGAACAGTGGAAGAACATTAAGAGTTCTAAAGGAAAAGCAGCTCAGAAGTCAGCCTGGTTGTCCAGTGATGACCAGCGGCAGCAGTGCCTGGGCAGAGCAGACTGGTGAGGGTTGCAAGGCCGGGAGGTGGCGTGTCTGCCTCAGTTTCAGCTGTTGCAGAAGACCACTCGGCAGCCTCCTGCGAGTGCTCAGAGTTCCTCCCCCCTCCCCCTTGGCACTCCAGCTCTGCCAGTGACATTGAAAACCGTTCTTGATATTAAGTCCCTCTGTGTGAAAAGTCTAGGAGAAGCTTCTGCCTCTAGATTACACATTACAATGCCTGTACTTGGTCGCTGGAAGGGTTTTAGGAAACACACAGACAATGAGAATCTGAATCTGGTTATCAGATGGATGTACTGATACTTCGAGACAGCCACAATAACATACCCTGGTGAAGTGACAGCTGTCCAATGTGCTGTCCCCTGACGGCCGTCCCAGTGCGAATGGCAAGCACCAGCCCAGTGGACGGCCTTGCTTCTCATTGCTTTGGGGAGACTTCAGAAAGTAAAAGGTCAGGTCGGTCAAGCCCACGGGGGACCTCTAAGCAGATAGAGCTTCAGGTTAGACTTACCTTTGATCCTCTGTGGTACATCTCTGCCACACAAATTGAGTTTACAACCTTTTTTATGTGCTATTGGGCTAGGACTGGACAGAGAGGGGTCCCGAGAACCAAGATGGAGACAACTGGAGGCTGTTATGAAGCCAAGAATCTTTTCTTTTTTTGTCAGTTGTGGGGCTTGAACTCTGGGCCTGGGCGCTGTCCCTGTACTCTTCAGCTCAAGGCGAGCGCACTACTGCTTGAACCACAGCACCACTCCTGGTGCTGTGGTTTATTTCTGAGTGGTTTATTGGAGTTAAGAGTCTCACTGATGTTTCTGCTCTGGCTGGCTTTGAACCACGATCCTCAGATCTCGCCTCCTGAGTCGCTAGGATGACAGGCGTGAGCCACTGGCGCACAGCTGAAGCCAAGAATCTTTAACTGTAATTTGTTGGCATCTGTCAGTGGGAAGGGCAGGCCAGTCCCCACCTGAGTCCTGTGCTGATGTCTAAGGTGGTGGTCCCCTGGGTGGAGAATGCTGTGCCCTCCAGACCCCTCCCACAGTCAGTCAGTCCTTGCATGCCCCAGGGAAATCACTGCAGGGGCTGGTGTGGGAGGTATTTGAGCGACGGCATGGGTCAGAATCCATGCTGGGAGTGGGATCCTGGGGGTTATGTACCAAGTCACTTTGCATGGGACAGGGTAGGATTGACCTGGCTCAGGACGGGGAGACGGTCCAGTCAGAGGAGAATCCCTATTTTGTGCCAGGCTCTGTGCCAGGCTTGTCTCGGACAGAATGTAGCTTCTCCTGTAGTCAGCCTTACCTCTCCTTCTGTACTTGGAAAAAGGAGGCTCAGAAAACTGCAGGAGCTTGCTGGTCACACCTGCTGGGTGGACCGCTGGCATTCACACCAGCCCTCTGTGGCTCTTGCAACAGCAAAGTAAGAGAGGAACACTGGACTGGCTAGTGGGTCCTGTGTTGAGCAAGTGCTGACCCGACTCCTCTAACCCTGACTGTCATAGCTCTGTCTGATAGCTCTAGAAATGGAGGTCCAAGGAAGGTAATGCCCGAGGTCCACAAAGGGCAGAGGCCAGCACTGGAAGGCAGCAGCCCAGCTCTCACCCACCAGACGTGCTTTTGTAGCCCAGCTCTGACTCACCATTTGGCACTGAGTTAGGTCCACACTGCCACCTGCATATCACCAAGGTCTGGTACTTGTGACATGAGCATCGGGCACTTTGGGCTGTCAAAGCCTCTAGGTTTGCAGTCCTTTGGGATGGCGGCAGCAGCAGATGAATGTCTTCCCGTTTCCTGCCTGGCCTTTTCAGTCCTCCCTGCATCCTTCAAGCTGTCCTGACACAAATGTGCTTGGAGCCTGGGTCGGTGGGCCAGGACATCGCCTCACACCTCTGTCTTGATCATGGGTGAGAAAGTGGGGCCCGCAGGAGGTCACGCTCACTGGCTTCATGCCCAAACCAAGCTCTCCTCACAAATGCATATATCTGCTTAAAAACAAAAGCCACCTGCTGGCCCACTTTGTCCCAACTCTGGCTCAGACATGTCTCTCTTAAAGGAAATTTATCCTAGGTACACACTGTGCCCAGCCAGGGCTGACATCACTCACTTTGATTAGAAGCAGCACTGAGGAGAGGTCTCAGGGGCTGGTGTCCAACATCAGGACATGAATTGCTGGCCTGGTGCCGGAGGGGCTGGAGCTGCAGCCCTGTTGGGTGTGCAAATCCAGCAGGTTGAAGGATATCAGCATCTGTTCAGGCTCACTGCAGTGTAGCAAGGACCGTGGGCCCCAGGCAGAGTGAGCACCTCCCTGGGGAAACTGCTTTGTAAGTGGCCACAGCCCTGAGCAGGTTTGGTCCAGGTAGCTACAGATCTCAGAGGTCTGCACGAGCCCTGGAATACAGAGATGCTGCTACAGGCAGAGGGGCATCAGGGAGAAAGAGGTGGTGGACTTTGGGTCTGTCAGACCCTGCTTAAACCCTGGCT